ACAGCATCTACTTTAATTCTCTTGGCTGGTGCTTATAGTCCATCTATGCTCAGTGTCATTATTGGTGTGTGGGTGCTATTTGTTGCCATTTTTCTGTTTTTATTGTTGTTGTTGTTGTATTATTTGTTTCTTTCTTCTTCACAAATTTCTGTGTTGATTTTTTTAGGTTTGTTTGTGAACCTTTTGTCCTAATATTTTTTGCTGTTCTTCACTTTTTATTAGATTTTTAAAATTTTCATGAGATTTTCCATTTTATTTGCAGTTACTTTATTCATTATTTTATCCCCCCAATTAAGAAAATCTATTCTCTTTTATGAACTACTTTTCTTATTTCTATTCAAATGCTTGGCATCCACATTTTCCTTCTCTATTTTCTTTATATTGTCTTTATAACAAAATAATATTTCTGGCCTCCTATTGTCTTTATACTTTCTTGGAAGGTTTCTTCCAGGATTTCTTCTATTTTCTTTGTAGACTACCTTTTATTTTTTGTTATGGAATTCCAATGAGACACAACTTATTTCTCTTGGTAGTGCCTTGTATAATTCATAGACTTTTTAATATTTTGCCTTTTAATTGATTATTCCTCTTGTTGGTTGTAGTCAAGAGATTTGCCTTTAAGCTCACTAATTTGTACGAGCCTCTACCTCTTCTAAGTACTTAAGACACCTGGGGAAACGGGACTGTTTCAGCCCCCACTCTACCTCTTCCCAGGCATGGTGGATCTGACTATGCTGTCGCTTCTTCCCTCCTCACTCCTAGCCTTCAGGGTGTGGAGGATTTGCAGCTGTTTAGTCCAGTTCATTTCATTTTTATAATTTTCTCCCAAGAGTCTGGGCACCTGGTTTTTCTTCAGCATTTATTTTCTCTGTATTCATTGTAGAGGAATTCTGTAGTACCTCTGGTTAGCCAGTTATGTTAACTGGACTTTCTTGTTTTGTTCTTTTGACAGTCCATGTCTACCCAATATGCTTTACTGACACCATAATACAAAGTACACCATTTTTTCTTTGGCCTTCATTACTCATTGCACAGATTTTGAATTTATATGAGGCAATTGAAAATAGCATGATGTAGGTCAGGTACATCTTAGTTCTCTGGTGACATCTTTGCTTTTTAATACTTTAAAGAGATCTTTGTTGGAAGGTTTATCCGATGCAATATATTGATTGCTTTCTAGGTTGTTTCCCTGGGCTTTGATTGTGTACTCAAGTAAAAAAAATGACACATTCAAAATTTCCTCCATTTATCATGATGTTGCTTGTTTGTTTAGTTGTGACCATTTTTGTTTTCTTTTTGCTGAGGTATCATCCTGAAAACTATAATCCTTGATTTTCATCAGTGAGTGCTGTAAGTACTCTTCACTTTCAGCTAGCAAGATTATGTCATCTACATATCACAGGTTGTTAATGAATCTTCTAATCCTGATGCCAGTTATTCTTCACATAGTCCATCTTTTCCAATTATTATATATGCGTATGTATTATATATGTACATAATATATATTAAACAAACAGAAAAACAACAAACTCATTGTCATCAAGTCAATGCTGACTCATAGTGCTCCCCATACAATTTGAAACTGTAATTGTTTACAGGAGCAGAAACCCAGTCTTTCTCCCATGGAGCTTCTGGTGGTTTCGAACTCCTTCCCATGAGGATTGCAGCCCAACTGGTAACCACTACATGACCAGGTCTCCTGTTTATAAGAATGATAAAAGTATACAACTTGGGCATATACTGTTCCATATAATCTTCCCATTTTCTGTTCAAACGACTGTCTTTTGGTCTATGGACAGGAACCGAATTAGCACCATTAAACTTTCTGGAATTTCATTTTTTTCAATCTTATAAATAATTTGTTATGATACCCACAATCCAGTGCCTTTTTGTGGTCAATGAAACACAGGCCAACATCTTTCTGATATTCTCTGTTTCAGCCAATTTCACATTGGCAATGATATCATGTAATTCCAAGCTTTTTGATCAGGTTCAAATTTCGGGCAGTTTCCTGTCGATATGCTCCTGAAAAATATTTTTAAATAATGTACAACCATTAAATAACATACTATGTTGGAAAAATCTATTGTAAAATACCTTTTTAAAATGAATGTTAGAGAGCAAGAGTGCCACTTTGAGGACTGAGGTACACCTTACCCAAGCTGTGGTATTTTCAGTTACCTCATATGTATGTTGGACAGTGAATAAGGCTGAAGAAGAATTGATGAATTTGAATTATACTGTTGGTGAAGAATATTGAATATAATGGTGGTTGCCAGAACAACAACAAAAAAAATCTGTCTTGGAAGTGGTTTAGCCAAAATACTCTTTAGCATCAAGGAGGGTGAGAGCTGACATTCAGTGGGCATGTTATCAGAAGGGATCAGTCTTGGAAAACCTCATCATGCTTGGTAAAGTAGAAGATCAGTGAAACAAAACAAAACAAATCCTCCTGGAGACAGATTGACACAGTAGATAGATTGACACAACAATAGGTTCACACATAACAACAATTATGAAGGTGGCCGAGAAATGCTGTGCTTCATTCTATTGTACATAAGGTTAATATGAGGAGGAACCAACTATATGGTACCTCATAACAATAGCAAAATTTTACTAGCCATTGATATTAATATTGATAATTTCCACATTCTATTGGAGGACCTATCTCTGGAATGGGCACAAATATGAAACATCTTTCAATTAGGTAGCCAAGACAGCTGTCTTCCAAACTTCTTGGCATAGATGAGTGTCTACTTCTAGGATGATATCCATCTCAATTGGTTGTAACATTTCAATTGTTATTTCAACAATTCCTGGAAAATTGTTTTTCATCAATGCCTTCAGTTAGCTTGGACCCTTTGGTTCTTGATCACAGGACAGGCTATTTACTGAAATGGTTGCATGTTGACCAGTTATTTTTGGTACAGTGGCTCTGTATATTCATTCCATCTTCCTTTGGTCTTTCTGCATTGTTCATTATTTGCCCATAGAATCCTTCGGTATTGCATTTTGAGGCTTGGTTTTTACCCCCTTGTGTTCTTTCAGCTTGAGATGTGCTAAATGTGTAATTCCATATTGGTTTTCTCATTCTAAGTCCCTGCACAATTCACTCATACTTTATTTTGTTTTCCCCAACTGCTCTTTGACATTTTCTGTTCAGCTAATTTTTTTTCCACTGAGGTAGTTAGTTTATTGGTCAGCCTGGCTGATAAACATATGTGGGGTTAATTGAAGAGTGGAGGGATAAATAGCTCAGTGAGCCTCATCTTTCTAGTTCTTGGGTCTCTTGCTTTCTGATGGTCTGACCAGGGTGCAGCTGCCTTAGCCAGTTCCCTGCTTTAGCTGGCAAGGCTCACTTCTTGCAAGACATCCCTGAGGAGAAGCCACATGGACCTACCATGATGCAGTCCTGGGTGCTGGAGCAACCGTGTGGAGACCCTTGCCAGTGCTGATATGCTTACACATTCACTGACTTGGCTTTCCTCCTGCAGTCAGCATCATTGTGTCTGTTTTGTGAGATGGAGGAGGACTTTGTGGATTGGTGTTGGACATCTGGGTTAATGGGTTAATGTTGGACTTGTGAGCTTGGGCAGCACTGTGTTGGGATGTTTTCTTGATGTGCCTTTAACCTTTATATAAAGCTCTGTCTTATACATGAGTTTCTGTGGATTTGTTTCTCTAAATTACCCAGACTAATACATTCACCTTTGTCAGTTGTGGCTGACACATGAATTAGAATAACAAAACATCATTATTATTGTGGCACAAACACACTACTATTGGTTAGCAGTCTAATGCTTGGACAATAATTCTTGTTTGTGCTTGATTTGGTTGATCTTGGTTATGCTCTCTTGGGCTGGCTTACATTCTTGCTAGCTAGTGGATTGTTTAAAATCAAATTATCTAGACTCATCTTTAATGGGACATGTCACCTTTGCCGTCTTTGCCTTTTCATCCTCTAGCAGTCTAAGGTAACTGTTTCTGTCAAGTAGACTGCAATTCATAAAAATGCCAGGTGTGTCAGTACAGAACTCCATATACTCAGATTTTGTTTTAAAAGCTGATATTTTGGAAGCAAAACACATGACCTCTCTTCCAAGGTGCCTTTAGGTATCCTTGGACCCCAACCCTTTGGTTAATAGTCAGTGGTTTTAATTGTTTGTAGCACCCAATGGCTCCAAATAAAATGTAGGTTATATTTAAATTTCATATAAATCCTTTTTAAACATAAATTGTTGACTTGTACAGATTAAACTCTTAAATGTCTAGGCATTATTTACCCAAACAATTGGGGTTGTTGTATTCAACAATATGTTAATGATTTGAATGGCATTAAAATTGCTTCAAGAAGTAGATAACCTGAAGAGACCAATGAAACATTAAACTTAATCAAAATTACTTTAATGATACAAACTCTGAAGTTAAAATGTTTAACCTCTGAACATTTTGAAAAGTGAAAGAATATACTTAAGGGTTGAACAAGGCACATACAGATAAAAATGAAGATGCTGTTATTGGGTGCCTTAGAGTTGATTTCAACTCATAGTTACCCTGTTTGACATAGTGGAACTTCCTCAGAGGATCTTCTAGACTGTAATCTTCATAGAATCAGATTGCCATGTCTTTGTTTCACAGAGCTACTAGGTGGGTCTAACTGCCAACTCTTACCGATTTATTTGGGAAATTATTTTTCCCCCTTCTCTGTTTTTGTTATTTGCTTATTGAAAGTGTCTACACAATAGCAATATATATAATATAATATTGTGTATAGAGAATTACAATACAATCTACTTTTGGTTTGCAGCTGCCAGCCTAGTGCTTAATGTGCCACCAGTGCTCCTAAATTTATCCTTGTCCTAGAAATTCTGTCCAATAAAATAAATAGGTTACAGGCATAATTATTAAAATGATTTAAGAGGTAGTGATCCATTTTGTGATTCTGAATCTAGAAAAGCCTAAGATCCTAAAAGAACTATTTTTTTTCTTTTCTTTTTTTGCTATGTAATTCCTCATTCAATCTGGACCCGCCACAAAGACAGACAGAGAGTGCAGGGATTTGTATTTGTATTCTTTCGCATCCTAGTGCAACCTAAAAGAACTATTAAAATCCTACTAGAATAGTGAAAATGATTGTAGTCAATGGAAGTCAGGTAGTAAGAGCTACATCAATATAAAGTAAATAATAGCTTTCTGATAACTCATCAGTTTTCTGTATGAATGTACATAAAATAATGCTAATATACTAGCTAATATATTTTGAGTACAGTGAGAATATGTACTTAGAATTTTCCAGATGTTATTTAGTGCACATCATAAAAATACTATGTTTCAGGCTCTATCTTTATCACCAGCATCCAGATGAACAATTAGTCTAAGAAAGACTAAATCGTGGGGGGGTCTTTCATGTCATTAATAAATAGTGGCTCTGACTCCAAAGCTGATGCTTTTATTGGACTGCCACTCTTGATGACAGCATTTAAAAATAAACATCACCTAGAAATAGAAATCTTAAGAATCATGCATATTTTAGAATTTGCCCTAACATTCTAAATTTGATTTGGAAAATACATATGCACCATTAATTTTACATTTTTAGTGAAAGTTTATGTGAGAGGTTTATTTTATCAAATATTAAAATGCACTGTAACATTGTGATAGAAAAATGTGATGAAACAGGAATTGTCAGAACAATTAAATAGAAAATGTAGTCAATAAAACAGGTTTTAAGAAGATGGGCCTTTCTACTCCCATAAACAACAACAGTATCAGAAAATAAAAGGGGCAGTTCTACCATGTCTTATAAGATTGGTATGGCTTGGCATTGACTCGATGGTAGGGAATTTGATTTGGTTTCAAGGATATATAATTGCTTAGAACATGAGATCAAAAACTGCATATCAGTTGAGAACTGATGGATTATTCAATAAAAATTATGGAAAATGGCTTATCATTTTGGGAAAGTAGAACTTGAATATGCTAGCATATTTTTGTAAAGATGAAAAAAATAAATGCAAAAGCATTATTAAAGTCTACAAATAAATATTCATGATTATTTAATTGACAATCTAGTTGGGCAAGTTTTCCGCCCACTCAACCCTTTTTGGTAATTTGCTTTTTAAAAGTTCCTATATACACAATATAAATAAATAAATATAAAAATTAATAGGAAGCTCAAGGAGAGTGGTGGGTCTGCCCAGACCACATGGGTGTGAACTAAGAGAAAAAGAGAGAGAGAAATGGACTTCCTCATGGTCCACCAACCCCCTGGGTCAGCATCCCTGCTTGGAGCAGCCATTCACAGAGAGGTCTGTAGAGCCAGCCCCATCACAAGGCAAGACATTCCCTCACTGACCCATAGCACTACAGGGGACAGCACTGGAGACACTGTGCAGAAAATTTTTCCTGGTCCGCCTCATGCACAGCACGGTGAAACGCAAAGGGAGTGCAATAGGGCACCAAGGAGAGCAAAGTAACCAAGTCCCGGAGGAATCATGAAAATAGACTTCTAACTTGTGGGACAGGGCTTGGCACCTCATTAGACCCAATTGGAAAACTCTCATAAGGTTCAGCAGACAGACCTGAAACTATCCTCCCCCCCCCACCCCCACCCCCCGCCATCCCCTATGTATATCTATATAAGATAGGCAGGATAAACAATCCTGAGGAGAAAACAATGAGACCAGCGGTCCCCAGTTGACATGGGAGAGGTCTGGGAGGGGTGGGGGCACGGTGAGCCAACAAATTCAGGGATGAAGGAACAAGAGATCTAAAAATGATGGTGAAGTGGCCTGGTGGGGTTTCATTAAGTGCAATGTATCCAAGAGGAATTATTGAGAGCCAAGTGGAGGGTGAGCATGATAGTGGGACAGGATGAAGATGAAAGGAAATAGAGGGATGAAGCAGGAAGCAAAGCTATTTATAGAAGTATAGCTCTAGGCATGTATATATGTAAATATATTAATTTATAATGAAAGGGATAGAGGCCAATGTACATATATTTATATGTTAAGTATAAAGATAGCAGACAGACTGGGCCTCTATGCAAGGCCTCCTTAAACACAAGAACACTTGGTTTTAATAACCTGGTACTCTTTGATACTCACCTTCCCGACATGATCTCTGAAGACAAAACGGGTGCATACACAATGTGGTGAAGAAAGTGGATGGTACCCAGCTATCAAAAGATAGAGCATCTGGGGTTCTTAAAACTTGAAGACAAACAAGACGCCATCTGGCAGGGAAGAAAATAAGCCCACATGGAAGAAGCACACCAGCCTGTGTGATCATAAGGTGTCGACAGGATCAGATATCAGGTATTAAAAGATCCAAAACAAGCAATTGTATCGATATGAAAGAGTGGGGTTGGAGTGGAGGCCCACAGCCCATCTGTAGATAATTGGACATTCCCCCACAGAGGGGTTACAAGGAAGAATGATTCAACCAGGGTGCCATATATCACTGAAGAAACACACATCATTTCTCTAGTGCCTGAATGCTTCCCACCCCCACTACCATGATTCAATTCTACCTTACAAATCCGGCAAGACCAGAGTGCACACATTGGTACCGATAAAAGCGCTCAACATATGGAGTTAAGGACAGATAAAACCCTCAGGAACAGTAGTGGGAGTGGTGATATCATGAGGATAGGGAGATGGTGAGGGAGTAGAAAGGGGGAACCCATCACATGGTTGGATATATAGCCCACCACCCAGGGGGATGAATGACAGAAATGTGGATGAATAGAGACAATGGACAGTGTAAGACACGAAACAACAACAATAATATATAATTGATCAAGGATTTACAAGGGTGCGAGGGTGCGAGGATGGAGAGGAAGAGGGAAAAAGAGAAGCTGATACCAAGGGGTCAAGTATAAAGAAAATGTATTGGAAATGTTGATGGCAACATATGTACAGGTGTGCTTAATACAATTAAATGACAGATTGTCATAAGATTTGTTAGAGCCCCCAATAAAAGGAATAATAATAATAATAAGCAACACAAAAATTCATCAGAGTAACCACAAATTAACAAGATTCTCTGTGTTAATGAGAGTAGAGAGTAAATGAAATTGAAAACAAGCAACAAAACAACAAAACAACAAAACAACAAAAATAAAGCTATTGGCAAATGCCACATTGGCAACTGTTCATACATTGGTTTTGAATTACTTTCACAAGTTAAGAAAAAAATATTAATTTTCAAATAGAAAAATTGGCAATGATGTGAACACAGTTTACAAAAGTTTAATAAATATGCTAATAATTAATAAATTACTTGAATAACATACCTAATAATGAATATTTAAATTAGTCCTAGTAATAAAAAAATAACTGATGAATTTTAAAAAACTAATCAAACTGATAGAAATTTCTAAACTACTCATATTACTCCTGTCAAAGCTTCATGGCCACTCTGTTCAATAGATCTCTCTTCAGTGAAGGAAATTTTATGTATCTGTGCCATCCAATATAATGACTAGGGAGTGCTTGAAATGTGTGTCACTAGGGTGACTAAGAAGTTGAATCCACAATTATTTAAGGCCAATCAAAGTAAACTTAAATCTCAATAACTACAAGTGATTGTTGGCTAAGGTATTGGACAAGACATTTTTTAGAAACAAGTTAATAAATCAAAATCCCAACCCCCCAAATCAAGCCTGTTGCTATGCAGATGATTTTGAATCACAGTGGCCCTTTAGAATTGCTCCATAGGGTTTCCAACCTGTAGTCTTTATGGAAGCTAATCGCCACACCTTTCTACTGAGGAGTGGTGCAGCGCATTCCAACCACCAACCTTTTAGTCGCTGAGCTTTAATCACTGAACTGCCAGGCCTCCTGAAGCAACTTAATTGTACATAAATAAGAACATAAAAATGTTCATTAAAAACAGAAGAACTATGTTCCAGGGTAAAACTGAAAAAAAAATCATATGCGATCATGTTTATCAAAGGATTTCTACCAGTCAGCAGTTGTTGATTCCATTGTGACTCATTGCAGACTTGTTTGTGTCAGAGTAGAACAATGCTCGATACAGATTTCAACGACTGATTTTTCATAAGTATGGTGTCAGTCCTTCTTTTTAAGGCTCTACCGTGTGGGCTTGGACTTCCAGTCTCTCATTAGCCTCGAGTGAATTAACCATTTACACTACCAAGGGACCCCAATCAATGTGCTTAGATTCTAAATAAAACAAGGAGTTGTGTTAGGAGGAATTGATTAGAGAAACAAATTCATGGACACTCATATATGTGTGTGTAAGAAAGAACTTTAAGTCAAGGAGTAATTAGATATCAAGAAAATATTCCAGCCAGTCCAAATCAAGACCATAAGTCCAATATGAGTCCATAAATCCCTCTTCAGACTCATGCAGCTACAGTCAATGCTGGAAGATCACAGGAGGGTGGGTGCAGAGTCCTGTGGATCCGATGGCGGGGGAAGATTCACAAGGCTCTGCCAGGTCTCATCCGTGTGGCTCACCAACAGGAAGATGAGGCAGAGAGACAGGATGGCCCAGTTTCAGAGTGCCATTTATCTTGGTCATCCTCCAATCAAGCTGTGACCTCTTTGAAAGGCTAAACCCTGACCATATGTTCCTATGAGAGCCGTGTTGGCCAAAAAAAAAAACCCTATCCCGGAAGTGTCAAATAAATTATGGTCTATGTCTTAACTGTCAGAATTATGGTTTAAAATACTATTTAAATATATGAATTAATGTTTTCATTATGTTGCTAAGTAAATGTGCCTCAATGCAAATTTTCTTTAAAAAGTTTTCTTCTAAATCTAAACATATATTATATAATTGGTTTTAATTTTGAATAATTAGCATACAGCTTCTTTATATGTTTCTTTTAATGTTTACACTTTATATATTGAGCATGTATTACTTCCTTAATAAACACTTTTAATAGTGCGTGTCAATATCATATAAAGTGTGGAATATAAAAATTAAGAGCATTGAGCTTGACTACCAGAAGTTCAGTGATGGGATTTGATAGAGAAAATTTGTAGAAACACTTCAAAGGGGATGGGAAAGTGATGTGGAATGGAAACAGGAAAGTATTAGGGCTAGACTGCCTCTATAGAAAGTATGGTGCTCAAAGGGAAGAGAAATGTAGGAGAAAAAAA